CTACATCAACACCCTCACATACTCTGCGCACGATAAGCAAAACAAGGTCGTCTCTGGGCTGTATTGGTAGGGGAATGTCTTCTTGCGGCGCTGGCAATTGCTGACCGAGCAGCTGCTACAATGCCTTCTCACGGCTGGACATGCGCGTGCAGGTCTACATCCCTGGCACTGTGGAGAGCTACTGCATCGATGAGCGCGGCGACAAACGAGTAGCCACCGACGAACTCTGGCTAGAGACCTACCTGTGTAGCGTACTGCGCGCATATTCTTATGCCGACGATGGCTCCGGCGACACGATCAAGAAGATCGTTGGTGTGCGGAGATTCAATCCCATCACAAGTACCGAGAGCGAGCACAAGTTTCTGGATGCAGCAGAGCGCCTGTTCTTCAACGGTATGACATTCGCTTGCATGATGACATCTCCGCTAACGCAATTCAGGCTGGCAATTAGGATCTGATCCCGAGATTCAAGTCCCAAATCTCGTCTCGAACCACTTGACTACGGGTCTTCTCGACTACATTCATACCACCGGTAGATATACTTCAGGCATCAATCTGTTCGAGAAATTGCGAACTCGCGATCCGGAGATCTCTTCCCTACTGGCGCGGGTATACATCGAGGCAGATGAGGAGGTGCAGGCAGTCCAACTGCTACACGAGGCCATCCAAGAACTGCCCATGGATTACTCTCTGCTCGACTGCCAAGCCGAGTTCTGCAACAAGAAGGGCCGCGGCGACCTGGCGCTTGAGATTGCTAAGAGGAGCGTTGTGTCTGCACCTAGTGAGTTTGGCACATGGGCGCGCTTAGCAGAGATATACGTCAGCCTCGAGCAGTGGGACATGGCATTGTTGACTCTCAACTCATGTCCCATGTTCACCTACCAGGACAAGGACGCACCACGGATGCCCGAGCCACAACGAGTCTTTCTGCCTGTCATGCCAGAAGCCATGTGCGACGAGATTGAAGATTCCAACATCGACGATATGGAGCTTGTGCACCCAACTCTGAGGAAGCTGCACGCTGCGGGTTTCAAGGGTACCTTCCTCAAAGCCTACATTCTGCTGACCGAGATTACAAAGAAGATTGGCTGGGATCAACTACTCAAGATACGAAGCCAAGTCTTCGTCATGGAGGAGGAATACCGCCATGAAAAGACCGCACAGCAACCGCATTCTCGCAGCGCCAGCACAACAGCGCTCCGTTCTCCTTCTCCAAACACACACGCCCAGCAAACAAATGGTGACCATGGCGAAGTCGAGGAACGTTCCTCCGCTGAGATATCCAACACGAACGGCGAATCATCGTCTGCGGCCGCCGAAGCAGTCAACGATCTCGAGAAGCCCATGCACACTGTCGCCTCTGAAGTTGTGAAAGCCGGCAGCGAAGACCCTCACGCACACGACGCCGCGAACAACGGCAACCCCTCGCAACCAAACTACACACACTTCCAGAACAAGCGCCTCTGCGAACGCTGGCTCGACAACCTCTTCATGGTCCTGTACGAGGATCTGCGCGTATACACAATATGGCGAACTGAGATGGCGCAGTACAGGCAACAACAACTTCTATACAAGAAGAGCAGTGAGGAGTGGGAGATCCTGGGTGAACTCGCCGAGAGACTGCACCACACAGAGGAGGCAGTGGAAGCGTATGAGAACTGTCTGCAAATCAAGTTCTCGCCGAAAGCCATGAGAGGCGTACTGAAACTAGGCGAGGAGAGGAAACAAGTCAGGGACGTTACAGCCGCGTTGATCAGACTGGTCACTTGGCAGTACCGATGGTACTCTGAGGTAAGTCAACCTTCACCCCTTCAACAAGATGACGAAACTAACATACTCCCAGTTCTCACCCTCCCTCCTCTACACCATCCGCAAACTTATCGAAGAAGAAGGCGCCGTCAAAATCCGCAGCATCATCCAGGGTACCTCGCTCCCCCAGCACGTCCTCGATCTCACACACCAATATGCCGCGCTTTGTGCGGCATTTAGGAGCAGCGGTAGCGATGGTTAGAAGCCTTCGCCTCTCAAAATCTATGGCTATACCAACAACAGTCTTGACCTTCAGGGACGTACCTGGAAGGACGAGAAGGCGAAGTGGTTGGCTGCAGGATAGCTTTGTGCTAGTGTGTGTGTGTGCGTGTGTGTGTTAATGCATGGAAGCGTTGGTGTTGGAGATGGTGAATATTAGACCGTTAATTGAGTCCATTGCCCTCTTCATGAAACGTCTTGATAACTGTGTACATGCTCTGCGTGTATCACTTCAGTGTCTGGATACTTCGTCGGGGGAAGAGTCGATTGGCATTCATTTATCCTGCTTCACTGAGAATCTCATGACCATCCACACGTGACATGCCGTTCTCCATGTTCTTGCAACCAATGTATTCATTTTGTATCGTCACAAGCCGGGGGATCGTACCAGGCAGCCGTTGCGCGCCATGTCACGTAACCTCGTCCTTAAGGAGATAGATAGTAGACAGTAGAAGACCCCATGTAAAAGCCCAGGATGAACACCGCTCCATGCTCCCCCATACACCGCTCCATCTTTCTCCTCTCCAAGCCCAAAAGCGATACCGCTTAACGGTAAGACTTCTGGTACCTGGCGCGCGCACCTGGACCGCCGAACTTCTTGGGCTCGCACCGCCTGTTGTCGGCAACGAGCAGTGTGCGGTCGTACTGGATCAGGGCCTGCTTGAGCTGGTTCTTCGAGTGCTCGTCGACGTACTTTTGGTAGTAGGCGATGATGGATTTGGCGATGGCTTGGCGGATGGCGTAGACTTGCGAGGTGTGTCCACCACCGGAGACGCGGACGCGGATGTCGACATCGGCTGCCCATGTTGTTAGTATTTTGCCCGTAGTTCCTTCGCAGCTTCCTCCCTGGGGCTTCGTGTGTGCGTACCGAACTTGTCAACACCGAGGATGAGGATGGGCTCGTAGACCTTGAATCGCAAGATCTCGGGCTGGACGAGGGAAAGAGGCTTTCCGTTAACCTTGACGAGACCCTTTCCGGCCTAGAATTTCATCGTAAGTATGCTGTTCGGTTGCGCGTTCGATCGTGGCATTCCGTGTGTACCTTGCAGTGGGCGACAGCTGTGGGCGGTATTGTTAGCCTTGTTCTTCTTCTTGCTCTGAGGTGTCGGGCGGCGGGCTTTGCGTACCAGTCGCGGTCTTCTTCTTGCCGAAGCATTGCACGCTCTGGGAGGCCATGTTGGGCGACTGTGGAATGTGCGTGCGGTTAGTACGGGTGGGCGTGGTCGGTTTGGCTGTCGTCGATGGGTGGAAGTTACCCGACGATGTTGCATGTCGAAATTCAGTGGGCGCACGGACCCGCTATCCCTGTAAGCGATTAGCGTCGCGGCGGGCTAGCGCCGTCAACTCCAGAAGCCGCGCATCTTCAACCTCGCCACCAGCATTTTCAAATCTTGATCTAGAGCAACTTCTTGCTGGTGGTTTTTCCTTCTACGCTAGCGCCTCTTCTTCTACGTCGCGAGTGTGTGAGTCACCGTAACTTGCACAACTACATTGGCGAGGCAGCATTTAACAAGGGTTGCCGACACCATATATAATTTTAATTCGTCAGTTGGGAGAGTAGAGGCTACACAGCTCGCTGCGCCGCACCTACGGAGAGCCCTGGGAATAGTTTAGTGTTCTTACTGAGTCTTTTTTGCTGAAACTCACATCGGTCGTTTCCATCGCAAAGCCGGTTCATCGTCACGCACCTAGATTTCCAACTGGCATATTAGTGCCGAGATCCAGGCATGTCGAATCGTCTTCAACAATCCCAGGGAGCAGTTCCTGAGGGTTCGTCTCACCACCTCTATGTCTTTGGAAGTAACGGAGAAGGTCAACTAGGAATACCAGCAGCGGAGATAGTCAGTACTCCAACTCAAGTTCTTCGTTTTACAACCACCGGCAGCCCTTTTCCTCTTGATAAGATAAAATACATAAGAGGTGGCGATAATCATACACTGTTTCTCACTACAACCGGCGTAGTCTACGGGGTTGGTGACAATCGCAAAGGTCAGCTGAAAAGGGAGAAATCCCCACCTCGACTCGAATTGTTTCATATATTGGGCCTTGATAACAGCTTCGCGGCCGCTACATGCGAGTCGTCAGCTTCCGTCCAGCACGTCGGCGACCTTCCATACAGCGCGATCAAAATACACGGTTCTAACAGCTGGGGTGAGCTTGGCTTATACGACGAAAGCTATGTCCAGTCTCTGCGCACATCTGAGGAGACCTTTGCCCACATTCTGCTTTCAAGCAAGGTAGCTGATCTTGCAGCTGGAGTTTGGCACTACGTCGTCATAATGCAAGATGGTTCGGTCTATGGTTGGGGGAAAGGTCGACTCGGCCAACTCGGAGATGCGCTTTTGAACTGCAAAGTCGGGGCGCCTACCAAGATCGAAGGGATACCGTTTAAACCCAAGAAGGTGGTATGTGGCAAAGACTTCACATACCTAGTCAGTGATCCAGCTGAGGGTAAACACCATCTCCTCGGCAAAGACAAGTTCAACATCATCTCGAACATGCCCGAACATGTCAAGAATTGGAAAGACATCGGCGCGACATGGCACGCCATCTTTGTACTATTCGACGATGGCACTCTTACCGCGTGGGGTAAAGAGAACATGTGGAAGCTACTACCGCCCAACCTGCCGCTTTTGGACAAGATTGCCGTTGGGTCGGATCACATCCTCGCTGTGACGAAAGAAGGCAAATTAATATCGTGGGGCTGGGGTAAACATGGGAACTGTGGCGACCTGTCGAACATTGGAGTTGAGATGAAGAACGATATGGTCAGCGGATTTTGGAATGAAATCAGCATACCGGGAGAGATTCAGACGATAGGAGCCGGATACTGCACCAGTTTCGTGGTTACGAAACAAGGTTGAAGATCCGCTAATCACAAGAGTATCACTATAATCTACGAGTACCAACGTTGCGATCATTCCTCCAAGTACAGCAGCTCCAGGGCTTCGTCAAACACCAAACTCAACAACTCAGTAACCCTCCCTAACCAAACTCCACTCCGCGACCGTCCCCCCATCGGTAGCATTCTCAGCAAATAAATTCCCACTAATACCCAAATGTGCATACCGTCCGCTCCAAACGCTTTGCTCAAGAGTAACGTTCGTCTGATTCCCAATATACGTCTTGATCTCGTACGCAGTGACTGGATCCCAAGGCGCACTTATTTTGACCTCTCCTGCTGTTACCTTCCTCACATCTTCATCGAGCTCTGAGTTGGGTTGGCTTTCGAATGGAGGGAATGTGGTGTTGGAGAAGTAAACTTCGAAGTGTGAGGGTGGCTGGTTGCCCCAATCCATTACGACCTTGTTGATGGGGTAAAAAGATGAATCGCCGAGATCTACGGTCAAGTAGCTGGTGATGTTTGCAAGTTCGGGTTGCCATTTCGTGCTTGCAGCGCCGTCGATAGCCGCGATAGGGAACTGGCCAGGTTTGTTGCCCTGGGATGATGGGAGCAGAGCTTTGCATTGGAGGATGTTACCGCCGACTGTGAGTATTTCACCCATTGGTCGGTTGCGGACTATGAGTGGCTCATCGCCGAGTTCGTACGTTGTGTTGTCGCGGTTACTGCGGGTACCGATCGTAACGGGGATGGGCTTGTCAAAGTATGTCGCGTTCGCCGAGGGCAGGGTATAATTGTCCCGTGGCAGACGTGTCAAAGTCGTGTGCGTCGAGTTGGAAGTAGCGTTGATACCATGTCCCATCCAGTAGAAGGTACGGTAGTTCAGATATGGGATCTGCGGCGGCAGCGTGGGGTCGACATCCAGCCTGTCGTAGTACAAACCGAGACCGAGATATCCGAAGATACCAACGCGATTAGTTCCTCCCATACCGGTCAAAAATGGAAAGGCTGGGTGCGTTCCTCCGTTTTCGTCGACGTTGTCGATAAGTTGTTCAGAGTATTGGTACCATGGTGCGCGGACGTATGGCGAGGACGAGTAAACGTCGTAGGTAAAGCTCGAGCAGCCGGATGGCGAGACTTCGTTTGCGACGACGGCAAAAGAAGAGTATGTCATGGCAGGGCCATCGAGAGACTGCTTCGCCGCGTAGTAGTCCAGGTTGGCTAAGCTGTATGGATTGGGGTAATGTAGTAGGTCGTCGACCAGAACAACGTCTGAATAAAAGTTATGATTAGTGACTCACCTGTCAAAGAGGTGGATGTTACTTACCAGCTTGCTTAACCGCTACTGACCCATTCATTCCAGTGTACTCAACAATGATGCCAGCATTCTCGTTGATTGGAATTTGCATATTGGATGCCTTGTCTGCCCAGCTAGCATTAGGGCTGCGTCCAAACCAGCTGTTGAACTCGTTCGTCTCGAGGAAATGACGTTGCATGAGTGCAGTGGTAAAAGCAATGTTGTTGACCTGGTTGGCGTATTCGTCCGGGTCCGTAGCATTCCAGAGCTCGTATGCGCCAGATGTTTCGTTAAAGTCCAGCAATTGGCCAAAGAAATGCGCAATGGCATTCGAAATGGGAAGGAGGGTGTCGTTGAAGTATTCTCCATCTCCGGTGATGATTAAGTGATTGTTGAGTGCAAGGCTAATGTCGCCGTTCAGATGGTACTCATAGTCGAAGCACGCGCCAGTCCCTGTGCAGTTGCCAAATCGCCCGCTCGTCCAAGGATATACAGCCCCTCCAGGTGTAAATCTACCTGTCTGGTTCTTGCTCGATTGGTACGCAGTGTCGACGTTGCGTTGCGCTTGATCGAAGTGCTCTACGCGGTACTTAATGACATTTTGAGCGTGTTGCGGATGCGACACTTGGACTCCCGGGGCCATCCATACATCTGCATCCCAGAATATCATACCACCATAGCAGTCTGAGCCCAACCCACAAACGGGAATACTGTAGATGTCCAGCTTTGTATTGTTGTTGGCTGCAGCCACAGCATTAGGTCCGACCATATTCGATAACAGGTAGAATGGGTTGGTTCGTGCCATGATATGCAGTGTTCGTACGTCTGGATCCTCTGGGAGAGATCCGTTCGGTAGGTGGTAATCATCGACCGAGTCTGGTGTTAGTATGGACTCCCACTCTTCAATGTGAGAATGCAACAGCTTGTAGTAACCCTCTTCGGCACCAGATAGCGAAGCATCGCGTGCTACACTCTGTGGGTCTGGGAAAGCGTCTGTGGATGCGACTCCGATGAACTTGGTGACTTCGGTGGGACGAAAGGCGACCAGCTCGACCGGGAGAGACTGCGCAATGGTTGAGCCATTACCGCCACTAAAGATGCCCCCAGCTACTTCAGTGCGAGCTGTAAGGTTGACCCAGTCGCTACCACTTAGAGTCGAGTATACATAAGCCTTTACGTCGGTGATGTTTCCCGGGCTGACAGCGGACCATATTGTAGGCGTATCTTCTTCGAACTTCTTCTCAACAAAGTCCGAGCGAACCGCGCAGTCACCGTCAAGCACGTCGTACACCGTCACATTGAGGTCGCGTGTCGCAGTAAGCCTCAGCCTGACTGCTGCTTTATTGACATAAAGCTTGTGCACGAACATCTGATAGTCCACATCAACTGTCCCATCTCCGGAACCCCCAGGCCGCCAATTGTATCGCCAGCTTGCAATTCCAGCTTTTACATCTAGACTCGATACGAAATCCGAAATGTGACCGGGGTTGACTGATGCATTCAGAAATTCGCCGTTAGCCTCTACAACGATACCACTAGCATGTGGGATGCCAGCAGTAAAGCTCTCCCACCCATACTGATACAGCCAAGGGTAGTTCGTTCCGTTTGTTCGTGGCTGACTATTCCAGAAGCCTGCGATGGTCGAGAAAGCTTGTCGTCTGCTGAACAGCGGCCACCCACTTATAACGTCGCCGTCCACTGGCTCATCCACTTCGAAAAAAGGTCCTGCAGATGCTACATTGATGCCAAAGTAGCCGTTCGCAAGCGTTAGGCGGGATTGGTAGTGGCCTTGATCCAGGGCATGTGTCGCTATAACCCAATTCTGGTCATCCCATGTTACGTCCTTGAATTGTTCATGTTCGCTGCTGGTAGAGCAAAGAACTAAGCGGGTTGAAGCTAAAAGCGCAACGGTAGCTCGACGGAGGTTTGTCGATAGCATGTCCTGCTATCGAGAGAAGAGTATGATCGTGATAACGGAGCAGCATCCGGCGTGGTTAAGGCACGTCGGCCTTAAAGCAGTTCTAAAACAAGGTACAAAGCCATGCCGATCAAGCATTATTGGCACTAGAGACTTCCACGGGACGCGACCCGTTCGTCTCTCTTACCTTTTTCTACACCGCTAGGCACGGGCTAGCTGCTGCGATCGCTCGTCATACGCTCCTTTTGCGGGCGCTAACTGAGTCGCCCAGCATGCTTGCGCGACAGCTTCGTAGCTTTATTCAATGTTCATCAGGTAGCGAGAGAGTCTGGGAAGGATGTGGTTGAACAAAGGTTTGATGCGTCGTTGTGGTTCTTGGCAAATGATGAGGACGCGTCGATTTCGAGCACCACAGGCGATTAGAGCCGAAGCTGTCGGGATCGTGCGCCTGTGACGTCACGGCTGACATCCCAACGAAGCCCTGGATACTAAACTTGTCGCCTTATCGTTCATCGGATGCCAAATAGTGCCGATCGCATCAAATCAGCAATGTTCCCAGGAGCTGTTCTATCGCGAGACTTTGGAGCTGGCCGTGAGCTTGCGGTTAGGCCGCCCACTCGGTGAGTGGCTGAGTCGCGCCATCACGAAGCGTAAGCATAAGGCATTCTCAGCTGAATGACAGCTATCCACACTCCACCCACCATGGCCCGGCGCATCGCGTCAAAGCTCAGAAGACGCGCCAGGAAGACTAAGAAAGAAATCTACCTCCCTCTCGATGCTGCGACGCGTGCAATCCGTGTGTTACACCTTCACCCTGGCGCCGGGGAGGATGACATTCGCGCAGAGCTCCAGGCCTCTTCCATTGACGATATTCGAGGGCGCTATGTCGCAATTTCGTACACGTGGGGTTCCGAAGGCGTCGCTCGCCAGGTTCTGATAACGTGCAACGGGAAACCTGTTTCTGTTTCTGAGAATCTTTCCACGGCTTTGCGCAAACTTCGACAACCTGACCATGAGGTTCTGCTCTGGGCAGACGCGCTGTGTATTAACCAAGCAGATGCTTCGGAGAGAACTAAACAAGTTGGCTTGATGGGTGATATATACAGCAACAGTCGCGAGACGATCATATGGCTTGGCGAACCATCGCTCGGTGAGGATATTGGCTCCCGCTTTCTGAAAGGCAATGCTTCCGAGATAGCGTGGACAGGTGATTCCACAGACAGCGACCTGCGGAAGGAGTTTATGCTCGATTTTGAGCACACGTGTAAGGTAGCACCGTTGGTCGCATTGGCAGACACACCCGCGGCGAACACAGGGCCGGATATTTTCGGTGCGTTTTGTCTAATCCAGGACTTTGCCGAAGACATCTCGTACCCTCTACTCAATTTGCTGGATCGGAACAAAGCCACTATATCGGAACGCATCGAATATCCTAGGAGACATGGCCTGATTGCGACAAACAGCCGTTGGCATGGGTCACAGTCTCTTAGGGTATGGGACGGTCTCGCAAGATTAATGAATAGGGCTTGGGTGATTATCCACGTTGTCTTCATTTGGTCTGAACTGACAGTAGAATTGGCAGTGGCAGCGCATTTGGGTCATCCAAGAGACCGTACTCTCGAAAGACGCCACGGTACATTACGGCATGCTTTCAGCCCCCTGGTCAATGTTCGCTAGCGCCGCCGTTAATTATGTCCAGCGGCGTCACACGTTGTGCCTGGATCTGGCTGGGACGCTCTATGGGCAAGACACACTGGATCAGTTCAGCAACTTCGTGCTTCGAATCGAAGAGACAAGACTTTGTCACGAGAGTAGCTCCGAAAACGCGACGTTGCTGGATCTGCTCTGGAAGTTTCGACCCCTACAGGCGACTGACAAACGAGACAAAGTTTTTGCTCTCCTCGGATTGACTACGGACTGGCAAGGCTTGCCAGCGTTGATCCCCGATTACAATAGCGATGCGACGAAAATATTCACTCGAACGACTTGGGGCAACCTACGACGAACAGGATCACTCTCAGTCCTTGCAGGAGACCTTGAAGCTGTCCTGAATCGCAAACGTCTTGAAGGTCTTCCTTCTTGGGTAATGGACTGGTCGCTACCATGTCTTCCGGTTGAAATAGAAAGAGTTGGCTCATTGAACATGTACAACGCAAGCGGTAACCGTGAAGGTCCGGTTCGGTACCATCCGGAGAACAACACACTGGAGCTTGAGGCTGTGTACATCGACTACGTGTCCACCATCGGCGAGGTTAGCCGACATACACAGATCAGCGATACATGCGCCGTCATAAAGTCCTGGAAGCTGCTCATTAATCCCTTCCTGCAAGCCTCAAAGCCATATCCTACTGGTGAGCCATATCAGGATGCCTTTTGGCGGACATTGGTCGGGAATCTGATACGTACGGGTACTGCTCCAGATACTCGCAAGACGAAGAGCTCTTATCGCCGAGCTACAAAAGACGATTACGAGTCCTATAGGGCGTGGAGTATGTGGTCTCGATGCATCTCACGAGACACGTTCTCTCGAACAGCGTCGTTTTCGCAGCGCGACCTTGACGAAGGCATATCTGGAATACATCACGCGCTCAAAACTGCGACAGCTTCCCGACGTTTTTTCCTCACTAAATCTGGATACATGGGTATCGGCCCAAGAACAACCGTCGTGGGCGATAGAGTGCATGTGTTCAAGGGCGGCAATGTGCCGTTTATTGTCCGGAAAGATGGATTAGTCACTGCAGATGGTGATGGAGGTGTCTCAGACCCTAGCAATACGCCACTGGGCGATAACTTTCGCTTAATAGGCGACTGCTTTGTTTACGGATTGATGGACGGCGAGGCCTTCACGCAAGCATCTCGGCACGCTGCAAAAGTTCATCTAGTCTGATCATCCGATTCAATACTTTCTCGAGATCGGCCATAACTAGCAGCAGGACTTATTTCGCATACCAAACTGATAACCTATGTACAGGAGAATCAGACAAGACCATTTCACCAAACCTCACAGTCATCACCCTACCGCGGAAGTTTTAACGTGTATCCACGCGCAGGGTACCGACATCTCACGAACGTAGTAGCCTACCACTTGCGCTCTGCCTTCAACTTCCTCCACCAATCCCTCAGCATCCAAGCATCGAACTCGGTGATCTCCATGGCGCTACCGGCCATCATGATGAAGTTGGTCTGACCCTGGGGCACCCAATCGTAGAAGTCTAATACACTTTTAGCACCAATCGCTGCGAAAGAGATCGACAACATACCTAGAAGTCCGAATCCGTGGCCCATCTCGTGGAGCAAGATGTGAATATCTTCCTGGTCGATGTTGTTCAGGAAGTAGTCTGGACCAATCTCCTCTCCCCAGTTGTATCCATAGCCGCCCATCTGGCCTTCAAGACTTTTGTCAAGCCATAGGCTGATGTCGTAGCGGCTGGCCTCACCACCGGGGCATTGGCTCATATCGCCATCCAAATGAGCGGCGCGATAGCAGCGAGTATCGCACTCGGGTACGCCGTCACCATCGGTGGTGGTGTAGATGTCCAGACCGTTGACATCACCTTCGATGAGGTTCTTGTCCTTGACAGCGTAGCCGACAACGTTAACATTAAGCTCAGTAAGCGGGAAACCTTCGAAACCGACGAGCACGTCGAACCACTTCTGCATCGAGCGCTGCAAAGCTTTGACGGTGGATGCGCGCGCACTCGCAGTGCTTTTGCCCGAGTGGTTCCAGCGGACGCAGTAGTTGAGACTCCCGTTGTTGGCCATCATCTGATCAATGATCCAGTTCTTGTCTTGAAGACCTTGGGGGTTCTCCTTCATGGTCTGCTTCCATACCTGGTCTAGACCGGTGACCATGTCGGACGGCGGGTTCCATGTTGTCGCTTTGGGGATTGGTGCGGGTGAGGTAGGGTCTTCCGCGCGGGCGAAGACGCTGCGCTCTTCGAGGGAACAAAAGCGACGGTCGATATGCTTGATGGTTGGGTGTGCCAGCGCACCCAAACCGAAAGCCGAAAATGCGATGATAGAATTGAAGTTTACCATGGCGGTGGTATGAACGAGTGACAATGGAGATACAAAAATGAACAGAGAGTGAAACAAAATGAATGTAAATGGTCGGGTTCTCAGCTGATGAAACAGCTGCACATCACGTCTGTTATACTATACCTAGGTACGAACATCGTACAATCAATTTTACGGAATACGCGTATATGATTGTTGACCCTGAGGCGGCCAGGAAGTGGTGGGTCAAATCGGACATTGCGAACCGAAGCAGGATCGTTTGCAATCATCTATCGCGTAATGCAGATTCCACGTTTGCGGGAACAACTACTACGTCTACATCGTGAATAGTAAACAGATGAGGCTGGGTGTTTCATGAAGGACCAACTTGTCGTGTGTTTGGATTAGAGGACCTCGGGAAGGTGCGGGTGGGGCTGTGGCACGTGCGGACCAAAATTTCTCCGTAAGATGCGAGACGCGAAGGATTCCAGCATGGGATTGTGTCGAACATCCTCAAATTCACGGTATGCGCTTCGTTTGCATGGAGAGCTGATCTAGTACTAATGAATAAACATTTATCCTTAGAAGTGGTACCTAGGTATCTATCTAGATACATTCGTCACATGCGGCTCATTTCCATTCTCGGTACATTCGCACACTCGGTGCATTCATAAAATCGGTGCATTCCAAGACGAGTATGGGCACGAGGTCTGCACATGTATCGCGGTAGGTTTGATGGATTGGTACACTTGGCATAGTGTGAGCACGTGAGGCGCGAGACTGCTTTCGCCGCGATCTACGATAGATGGCCCAAGTCTGGTAAAAGTTGTAGGGCATGTCAAGTACGGCCGTACCGTGTAGACTCGTGGTCTGCTTGGAATAGCTGTCTCTTTGCTGTCGATCAAGCTGAAGATACATACCGAGCGCGTTGGCATAAGTACTGCGTCAAGCGGCTGCAGGTCTTGAAGAAACTGCCAAATTTACCCATCTTCCACTCTAAAGGAGAATAAACACAACATCGAACA